CGTATTGTTTCGCATACATATTCGCATTTAGATGCCTTACGAACCTAAATGTTCGATCGCGAAATTCAGAAGCACATCGCAGTATAGAAGTTCAATTGTTCAAAAATGTAAATAAACCGCATGATACATTCGCTTCGTCTTACACTTTGCCTTTGGAATTCGCGCTTATATAGTTGTATTAAATCTTCGATCCTGTGCAAACTACGCGACGTGTCAACACGCCCATACACGACCACATCATCTTGTTAAACGGCGAAATAGCAGCGATATTATTAAAATAGGACCGGGTCTACATGTATTAAATATAATCTTACCCCAATTCAATCTAAACTTAATCGAACAGCATGAAAAGAACGGTTTATTTGTTCCTCTTGGAGGAATTGCCGTATCATGCGAGCGAAATCAAATCGCGCATTGGAAAATTAGCCAAAGCTGTGCACCACAACTCTTGGGAGATAAGACTGGGACGTAGATAAATACGGTCACATACATGTTTTAAATACTAGTATATTTCGCGCCATTACAGACTTGCGACGACGAAAAATAAAAAAAAATAAAAAACAAAACAAAACCGGGGCGAATTTTCAACTCCGTCGCTGCTGACGCCGGAGTAATAATAATTAATACCTGAGGAACTGCTTGTTCGACCAATACATCCAGAGCTGCATCCAAGACAGTTCCCTTTCTCTTTATGCCATGCTCTTGACAGAAACGTTCAATAGTATGAGTACTAGATCCTCTACCATCAGGAAAGCGTTCTTTTAAAAAATCAGAGAGGTCGTGCACTGTATTGTTCCCATTTAACAGAAATGCTTTTACAAAATCGACGCCAATATCTTTCAAAGTGGCCATATTTAATACATTGAAGTGAAGTCACACCTTGGTTTTGCCGCCAATTTGTTATTTAATTTATTTTGCGCATTTTACATTACACACCCCCTGACCTAACAGAGCTGAAACGACTTTGTTTTTTCATTTTTCTGCTTCAGTTCATTCCCTGTAACTTTGAGAAACAAGAAACAAAAATTGGATTCAATTTTCGATTTTTGTCAAGGAATAAAAAACAAGAAACAAAATTCAGATTCAATTTTTGAATTTGACGAAATAAGAAAAACGAAATTTTGATTTGATTTTCTGAATTTCGTTTTTTAATTTCAGAGGAAAACGAATGGCGGAATGGTACACACATTTTTGAAACGCATCAAAATGTTTTACCGGAACCATCATATGCCAGGAAAACCCAAGCATGAAGCAAGCCATGCTTTAATCAACAACGTCACAACGTGTTTTACCACTTCGGAAAAGAAAAGAGTCGGGCCTTTCAAGCGCAATTTATTTTTTTTTAGAATATAATATTTTCCATTTTTCTCCACAATATGGAATAACTGATGAAAGGTATTTCCAAATCGAAAAAATATTGTTGTATCTCTTAGATAGGGGACAAAAAAAAATTTAGATCCAAACTCCATTTTATCCTGGCAATAATGTTTCATTGTTCGCTGTCCCATTTCATTTATGGTGTTGTATCATCTTGAATTTTTTACTTTTCCGAAAAGCATCTGTAACATTTTTTTCAGCATATCAAAGACATTTATATGGACTTTGAAAACACATCAAAATGTTTTACCGGAACCATCACATATCAAGAAATGCCAAGCATGATGCAAGCCATGCTTTAATCAATGCCACGACGTTTTATGCGACTTTAGAAGAGAAAAGAGTCGGTCCTTTCAAGCGCAATTTAATTTTTTGGAGCATAATATTTTCCATTATTCTTCATGATATGGAATAGCTGATGAAAGGTAGTTTCAAATGGAAAAAATATTATTGTATCTCTTAGATAGGGAAAAAAAAAATTTGGATGCAAACTCCATTTTATCCTGGCAATAATGTTTCATTGTTTGCTGTCCCATTCAATTTATGGTGTAGTTTCATCCTAAATATTCTAGTTTTGCGAAAAGCATGTGTAACTTTTGTTTTCAGCATATCAAAGACGATTATACGCACTTTGAAAGGCATCAAAATGTTTTAGCGGAACCATCATATGTCAGGAGAACCCAAGCATGAAGCAAGCCAGGCTTTAATCAACCTCACGACATGTTTTACCACTTCGGAAAAGAAAAGAGTCAAGCCTTTCAAGCGCAATTTGTTTTTTTTTAGAATATAATATTCTCCACTTTTCTCCACGATATGGACGAACTGATACAAGGCATTTTCAAATCGAAAAATTATTATCGTATCTCTTAGATAGGGGACAAAAAAAATTTGGATGCAAACTCCATTTTATCCTGGCAATAATGTTTCAATTGTTCACTGTCCCATTTCATTCAAGGCGTTGTATCGTCTTTAACTTTTTAGTTTTGCGAACATAACAACTGTAACATTTTTTTTTCAGCATATCAAAGACAAATATATATGCACTTCAAGCACATCAAAATGTTTTACCGGAACCATCATATATCAAGAAAAGCCAAGCATGATGAAAGCCATGCTTTAATCAATGCCACGACGTTTTATACGACGTCAGAAGAGAAAAGAGTCAGGCCTTTCAAGCACAATTTATTTTTTTAGAACATCATATTTTTCATTATTCTCCACGATATGGAATAACTTGATGAAAGGTATTTTCAAATCAAAAAAAAAATTATTGCATCTCTTAGATAATGGACAAAAAAAATTTGGATGCAAACTCCATTTTATCCTGGCAATGTTTTGACTTTTGGATCTTTCAGCAGCTCGGACTAAATCTACGGCGCTGTCCAATGTCGGAGTAGTCTACTTCTTACACTTTGATCAAGGATTCCTATCACCAATCGGTCCTGAATTAGCTGACTGGTAAGAGCCCCATAATCACATGTTGCTGCCAATTTTCTAAGTTTTTTCAGGTACTGATACTCTCATTATCCTCTTGTATTGCAGTATTAAACACATAACGTTGGAAAATTGTGTTCTTTTGCGGCTCAAAACAATTTGTTAATGCTTCTAATAAACTATCTGGATCAGTAGGATCTGTAACTTCTAAGTTTTCAGCTATTTGATTCGTTTCTCGACCCAGCACGGTGTATAATGTGGCCAACACTACACTTTTATCTAGTCCCGTAGCTAGTTTATAATTATTCCAACTTTTCTTAAAGTATTTTCAATTATCTGCTAAATTTCCTTTTGTATTCATAGACACAGGCGGCGGTATTTGACTGTAAACAGTTACTGAAGGCATTAGCGGTGTTTGTAAAGTTCCCTCTTCAACTGACATATTTGTATTTCAGCATGAACTATACATAAATGTCTACTTACCTCTTTTCATTGAGTCAATATGGTAAAATCTTGTTTCGTGGCAACTATCCCAAACGGCAAAGTGTTGCACTGTCGGCTTGATTTCTTTATCAATTCCTTGGCCAACTTAGCATATATACTGATATACTGTGTTCAATGTGATTCAGTTTACACCTGACACCCAGGGCCGTAGCTAGCCTGTTATAGTTGGGGGGGTGTGAAACGAAAATTTCCGAATTGCGTAATTTTTTCCGAATGCCAGAAATGAATAATTACCTAGACTGTACTATTTTTTACAGCTTTGCCTCGTTTTCGTTTGGCTAGTTTCGCGCACAATAAGCACCAGAAGGAAATGTTTGTAATATAAGCATAAGATCACAGAGAAATACCTTCGTGCACGAAACTTCTATCACGGTTTTATGCTAAAACAGGCAAAAGCAGACACGAGACCATTGGGGCAAGAGAAGGTCAATGAATTAATAAAAACAAAAAAGAAGGCACAAAATAGACAATTTTTACTGAAACGATATTACAATTAACAGTGAACTGGGTGTACTGAGTATCCAAAGTTCCAAACATCACTCAGTGTATCAAATTATCTGTCATTCTAATGAAATATATAGAGAGTTTATTAGAAAGTTTGTGAGATGATATATGTTTATATATCATTTAAAATAGATCAATAAATTGTCTACAAATCAATTCGTTGGTTGGCCTTCTTTAGCCACTTCTCTACTAAATTGCCCAAGACGATGCTATCTGTAAAATCTTTTTCACTGCGCAACAAAATTAGATCTTGCAATCGATTATCAGACATGGAATTCCGCAAAGCAGTTTTTACTTCCTTTAGTTTGCTGAATGTTCTTTCATTCTGAGCCACAGTCACTGGGGCTGTCAATGCAAGTCTGTAAGCTCGATTGGTCAAAGGGAAAATGTGTTTTCGTTTTTCAGCTTCTGCTGCAGCATCTGCCAGTGATTGGATAGGCTTTGTGTCTTGCTCGTTGCTCACTACATTCACAAAAATTTCGAATTCGGCAACAAATGCAGCTTGGTCAGGTGCTTGTTGCGGGAAGAGACTAAGGAGCTGTTTCACATCTCTCTCATTATGATTAGGGATCAACGGTGGTTGGAGGACAATGGAAAGAGCTTTCACCTTCTCTAAACTGGCATTGATATTCTCCTTGTACTGCCGTATTAAAATATCAAGGACTTCTTTGAACTCCCTGTCATAAAAATATATCATAGAACTATGAGTGGCCGATTCTGGGTTTTCATCTAAACGGCGAGGTTGCCTACGTGGTCGATGCAATTTCGCAAATTCAGCAGCAGCATCAACATCTTTTCCCGACAACATGTCAACTGAAGCCTGAATTTGATTTGCAATTCCTTCGTCATCATTTCTTATATCTTCCAAAGACTTCACAGTGCCATTCAATTATTCCAGTGCATCAATAATATTTAATTCTTCCTTCTGGAGCGATTCCGTCAGGATATTCGTTTTCCAGAGAATAATCCTCATGAACATCAAACTGACCACAAAGTCGACGCGGAGAACTTTAGCCAACAAACCAGTCGCAGCAGCTTTACCTTTCGCGTCAACGGAATCTGTATTTGATATCTTCATTAATACCTCAATCACGGCTTCATAAGATATCCACATCGCTCTAAGAGATTCTGCCCATGCTGTCCATCTCGTACCAGAAAGATTCCTTAACTTCAGTGAGTTTTCAACCCTTTTCAAGTTCATCGTGCAAAATAGCATACCGCTTTGTACTGCCAGAGAAGAAGGCGTAAGTGGCTTGAAGGATGTCAAACAGCTCGGAAACAATTGGGCTAGCTTTGCAAGCATGTTCATTGACTGTATTTGAACGATGACCTTGACATGGTATGTACGGTACTTCTCTTCCGAGTAACCTAGAGACGACTGCCTGTGCGCCATTGTATTGTCCCGACATGCTGTTTGTAAAATCGTACGATTGGAAAGCGATGTATTCGTTATTTAATCCATTTCGATCAACTGATTGAATAGTAGCGGTAGCTTGTCCTTCTCCAGTTTTATCGCGGACTTCTTTCAGGTCAAGAAGACGTTCGCGCACAGCTCCGTCGTGGTCAACGTATCGGCAAACAACGCTCATCTGGTCTTTGTGGCTAACGTCAGGCGTTGTGTCTGCCATTATTGAGAAAACCTCGACGTCTTTGATATCTTTCGTTATTTTGTCCTTTACTTCCAGAGCAAGTAGGGAAAGGAACTCGTTCTGCGACTGTGGACTGGTGTAGGTAACTTTGTACGCTCTATTGTGTTTCTCATCCATCCATCGTTTTAAATTTGGGCAATGCCTTGACATAAGGGAAAGAAGCTGGGAAAAATTACTATTGGCGTCCGATTGCGAGCCTCGAAAAGATATACCCTGCCTTGCCATTGTGCGACAAAGATAAAAAATTAGCTTTATAATAGCTCGGTTATTTTCCTTATCTTCTTCCAACTGAACTGCCTTGGCGCGAACCTCCTGGTCAAGTAACGCCTCGATGTGAGAATTGCCACTCATGAAATGGACATAATCAAGAAATGCTCTGTTGTGTGCTTTTGACGAGAAATGTTCTGAAAGTTTTCCAGGTTTTCCTGCACCTCTGCTTTTCATCTTGTCCCATCTTCTCACTCCATTGGATGACCAATTTTGTGTCGCACGTTCTCGATGTACACCTTTTGGGAACATCTGGCAAATGAAGCAAAAAGCGGCATCCTTCTGAATACTGTATTCTATGAACGGATACTGGGAAAACCAAACTGCCGTGAAACGATTTTGTTTGCTGTTTGAAGCAATATCTTCGTTTCGGGGATAATTGAAAAGCTTAGGTTGCTGAGGACCAATTTCAGATAAGAACATCCTCTGTTGCTTTGTCGTAATCAATGGTCTAAGTCCTGGATCTCTCGAGACCGGTTCGGGTAAATCATATTCAGCAACGGGGATTTCTCTTTCTTCGTATTTTGTGAGAGCCAAGTCTGCACTCTCTTCAAGCCTGATAGCTATATCTTTACATAGTAAGTAAGTAAGTAAGTAAAAACTTTATTTGACTACGCTAACCCCTACAGCATACGCTGGTTTCCAAGAGGGGCGTAGGTTAAAAAATGTTACAAATAATTAGCTTACAACAGAGATTACAGATATAAACGAAAAGTTACAATTACACATTACACTCACATCTACTAATTACAAATTATTAATTAACACATATATTACTAAATTAGTTTAGTCTACTGGCCAGGTGTCGCACACTTGAGTTAAATAGATTAAATGATTGTATATTTCTTACTTCATCTGGAAGGCTATTCCACAACTTTGCTCCTCTATAACTAAGACTTTTCTTAAGATATTCTGTCTTAGGTTTAGGCAATTGGAGCTGCGTGGTAGAACCTCGTAGATTATAATGCTGAGAGGAAGGCATCTTATGAAAAAGATCGGTTAATTGCTTGGGTGCTATTTCATGAGTTATTTTATACATGAGACTTGCTGAAAATTGAATTCTACGTTCTTTCAAAGTAGTCCATTTTAGTTCATTTAACGCAAGTTCAGATTGGCTGTGTTCATTTTTACGACCTGTAATCACTCTAGCAGCCCTATTTTGTAATTTTATAAGATTTAAGGATAATTTGTTAACAGAGAGCCACCGCTTGACGTTAGCAAGGTCACAATTGATGGCCACTTCTACATCAGAAATTGATTTACCAGAAACAGTTAGGGTCGTATCGTCTGCAAACATTCTTGTTGATGAATACTGCAAACTGTTAGGTAAATCATTTATATAGATTAGGAATAGAAGCGGACCAAGAATTGAGCCTTGAGGAATTCCACATGTAACAGTATTTTTATGAGAAATTACCCCATTTACAGAGCACATTTGGGTTCTGTTTGCTAGGTAGGATTTTAGAAGGTTTAAGGCTGGCTTTTCTAAGCCATATAAACCAAGTTTCTTCAATAATATATCATGATTTATCGTGTCGAAAGCCTTTTGTAGATCAAGGAATACCGCAATATTAAAAAGACTGCGATCCATATTTACGAACCATTCGCTCGTACTGTCTAAAAGAGCAGACGCTGTAGAATGAAACTGCCTGAAACCAAATTGGTGATGGGATAACAAGTTATTTGCCACAAGATAATCATATAATTGTTCATATAATACTTTTTCGAAAATTTTACTTACAATAGGTAGAATAGATATAGGCCGATAATTGTTTAACAGATTTCGAGGACCTTTCTTATATAAAGGCGTAATTCTCGCTGCTTTCCATTCAGACGGAACGGACTCATTGCTAATTGCCATATTGAAAATATTCAAAGAATTTGTAATTACTGGGGACGCAATACGAATAATTTTAGCTGGAATTTTATCAATTCCGGTAGATTTACGGGGATTTAAAGACAAAAGAAGTCTGTATACTTTGGATTCTGACACTGCTTGAAACTTAAGGCTGCTTGTTGTTTTATTAGTCATATAGTCAGCAAAATTTTCGTCACAATTTTCGACAGTTGTGGCAATATCTGGACCGATATTTGTGAAGTAATCATTAAAACATTCTGCTAACTCAGTTGGATCAGATATTTATCCGTTTTGAGTTTTGATAGAGTTTATTTCAGAGAATTTCTGATTTCGGTTTAAAATTTTATTGACAGTTTTCCAAGCTTGCTTTGGATCATGTTTCACTTTATCAAATTGTACTTTATAATAAGCTGTTTTTGTTTTTCGCAATGTATCAGTTACTTGATTTCTGGACAATTTGTATGCATTCCAGTAGTTATTCGATTTATATCTTATTGCAAAGAGTTTAAGACGATCTCGTTCTCTAATTTGTCTTTTAATTGAATTGGTTAGCCAAGGGACACTTGGTTTATTTTTAACTCTTTTCTCTGTTATTGGAGCATGTTTATCTAATACAGTCATAAAAAGCGTTTTCCATTTATCCCACATCTTATTCACGCAGGATTGATTATCTATCAATTCCCATTCTTGGCTTCGCAAGTCAGTTAGAAAATTTTCGGTATTAAAATATTTTAAATTTCGAAACTCAACTTTCTTGTGGCATTTTTGTTTACAAAACACGTTTTTTTACGCACGATAACGATCATATAATGGTCACTAATTGTAGTTGACACTACTTTGGATGTAATTAACTTCTCTGGAGTCGAAGTGAGACAAACGTCTAACAATGAAGATGAAGTTAGCGTCATACGAGTAGGTGCGCTAATTGTTTGTGTTAATTGATATTGTTCCATTATTGAGATTAAGTTCTTTGTAGAATTATTTGAAGTTTCTAGCATATTTGCATTTAGGTCACCAAGTAAGTAGAATTCCTTACTCTCGTCATCTATGATTTTCACCAATGCTTCAATTGCTAAAAATGAGTCCACCGGAGCATTTGGAGGTCTATAAATCGTTCCAACAATAAAAGGAGCGCTAAAAGGTTTATTAATCTCGATAAAAACAGCCTCAAGATCATCTCTAACCAGATCTTTACGCTCGAAAAAGTTTAGAGAGTTTTTAGCATAAATGTAGACGCCTCCCCCTTTTCTAGAGCGATCAAATCTAATTACATCATAGTTGTGTATATGGATATCCTGATTACTGATATTTTCATCTAACCGTGTCTCATTCAAAGCAAGTATATCAAGACATTGATCGGCTAATAGAATTCTTATTTCTTCAATATGTTTAGGTAAGCTAGCTATATTAAGCATACTCATTTTAAAACCTTTAACATTAGGGAAGTCTGGATTTATTGGTGCTCGTTCATCATCACCTGGCCTTGTTGTATTTCAATTATGATGATTAAGATAATTATTAAAATTCTTGCTAATAATGCTACTGCCCTTTTTATTTAAATGTAGCCCACGCCTATTTAAACAAGTGTAATCTATATTGCTATTATCTATAAAGGTCCATTAGTTTTGGCCACAAACACGCATAAGAATATTATTGACATTCTTTATCTTGTTTTGAATGGAGGCTTTGTCTTTTCTGACAGTTATGCTGGATATACATAATTTAGTCTGTGGCAAATTATCCTTAATTTCAGAACCTAAGTTTAATATACCTGCTGCAACTATCTCAGCCGATTTAGTGTCATCTTTAATATCGTTAGTGCCTATATGCAATATCATTGTATCGGGCTTCTTACGCATCAAAGGTTTTAAATAGTCTCGCATGTCTTCTGTTTTGCTGCCAGAGAAAGATTTCACTGACACACGTTGCTCCGCGTTAGACAATTCCCAACCATGTACATGTTGCAGGATAGAATCCCCGGCAATAAATGCAAGTTTACTAGTTTTACTAGTTTTACCAGCTTTGTCATCTGTTTTGTATGATTTAGTTGGCTGATTTCCCTTTTGCTGTTTGTTATGCCCATGCAAAATGACACCCGTACAGTTTCGTTTAATCACCGGCGGTGTATTAGACTTATTCGAACTATTTTCATCAATTGTGTAGACTTCTTCGTCGTTTTCTTTAGTTTGTAATAATGGGTCATATCTATTATATGTTCTTATTGTTTCCCGTGGTTTATCTTCAGTAGGGTATATGGTTTTATTTTGCCCGTGATTAACTGAAATTTCATGTGTGTTAGGTTTAGAAAGTACTTTGGACTTTGGAACCTGCCACGTGTTAGAAGTCGACTGACTATTATTCGCTGACATAGAATTTTTGTCATCATGTAGCACTTTTATGACCATAAGCAAACTTCGCTTTTCGTTTTCAATATTTTCTAATTTAGTTTTTAAGTCCGATACCGTGTATGAACAATCATCAAGTCTCTCGTTTACAGTGTTATTTTCCTCCTTTAGCTGAGCATTTTCTTCTCTTAGCCTGGCATTTTCATGTTCCAAATAAACCCGACAACAATTTGTATGACATGGCTGCTTGTTTCGCTACATGACATGGCCGCTTGTTTCGCATCAATCAGGAAGTTTTTTGATTCGGAACAACGCACTTCTCTATATTTCGTTTCAAGTCCGTCATCTGATGGATAAGAAGGCCCATCTGGCCAGCACATCGCACCCAATCGACTTCGGACATCAAATCACCAGAATCATCTGAAGATTCACACTCACTATCCAAGTCATCTCTTCGTTCTTCCTGTCGAGTACGTCCAGTACTCTCAGTTGAAAGATTTGCAAGCAGC